AAGCATAGTCCTTGTCATTTAGATGCTAAAAGAAAAAAAAAAGATTTAGAGTAAATAAGGTTCGTGGAGGGTCAGGTATTTTCCATATTTTCTGTAGCCATCAGCTCTGCTCTAGACCAGAGTGGGTGTTGCCACTTTAATTGTGGTGTCCTGGCAGAGGGCCAGGACTTAATTGTTGATGACCCTTCCTTTTCTGCTAGCCACTGTTAAGTACAACGGCTTCACAAAAAAGTTCATGAAAGTCCTTAAGAAGCCAGACGTGATGGCACTGGAGGTTCAGTGACCACAACCCTACAAAAGGCAAGATGATGCCAAGGCTACCCTGTGGGAAGCCAACACCAAAATCTGTTTACTTGCCTCCTGGATGCTGAGCTTCACTTGGATTCTCTTTCATATTTGCCAATGTGTGTTTTAAGGTACATCCTATTGCCCTGAATCAACTGTCTCAAGGATTTCCCCCAGTCTTCTTCATTTGTACATATGTGCTCATTATTTTTTAAAATGTTGAAATTATAGAAAGTTATAAAGAAGAAAATAAATATTATCAGTTTTCCAACAACCCAGAAACAATAGTATTTAACGGTTGGCATATATTTATCATATATATTGGAGCCTCTGTGTGTGTGTGTGTGTGTGTGTGTGTGTGTGTAGGTGTATAAATTTCACTGTTCATCATTGTCAGTATGCTTCCACCACATTTTGACATTTGTCTATTTCATTGTATACTATGATTTATATAAATAATCCATTTTTATTGGCTCTTTAGATTGTTTCCACCTTTTGATTATTGTCAATAATGCTTCTATAATGCCTTCATACATACATTTTGGGGCATATCTTTGATTTTTGCTTGGGACATATCATAAAAGTGGATTTTCTCAACTAAAGGATATGCATCTATGGTTTTTGCTACATATCTGTGATGCTGACCTCTAGACATGTGAAACCAGTTCAGAGTAACATTGTATACTCTCCACACCTCTTCACATTTTTTATTGTCCCTTGATAATTTTGTTAATCTGTCTCAAAGATTTGTAATGTTTTCTATAGATTTTTTTCGTATATTAGGTGCAAAAACCAGAGAATAGAAAAGAACAAATTAGCCAAATGCCTTGTTTGCTTATTTTGTTTGCTCGTTGCTGGTTTGGTTTTCTTTTTTGTTCTGCTATAAGTATGTCTGGAAAAATAAAATTAAACTGAGTAAGCTTGACTCATGAGGAAGCTCCCTTTCATTTCCCTGGAGCAAGGCAGTGGAGTACTCACAGGTCCTGATATTAGCAATTACTATTTTGGAAGCACAATAAGAAGTGACTACATTCCTCAGTGTTATCAAGCTTTTTCCATTATCTCTCAAAAGTTTCATTTCACATACTTTCTTAAGGTCTGGGTATACCCTATTGGTGTTTATGATATTTTTTATATTTCTCTTTATCTACTTTTTAGCATGTTGTAGTCTAAAGATGAACTATGCAAAAAAAAAAAAGTCATGTATTAAACTTGCAAAAATTGGAAGCCAGAAGACCAAGATTCTAATACTCCCTCTGCTACCCACAGCTGAGCACAGTACTTAGACTCTGTGGGACCTCATTTCTGCATTGCAAATAGTTCTATATAACAGCCCAGGGGAGGTAGTGGTGGCCATGAATGGGAAAGAATCTGTAGAGTCTTTATTAAATATTACTTGTGCCAGTTTCTGTGTATATATTGCTAAATAGGCATTTTCCCCCCTCATTTTCTTTTTTTCTTTTTTTTCTTATGTAGGCTCTGTACCCAGTATGGAGTCCAACATGGGGCTTGAACTCACAACCCTGAGATCAAGACCTGAGCTGAGATCAAGAGTCAGATGCTTAACTGACTGAGCCACCCAGGTACCTCCTGCCCTCATTTTAAAGAGGAATCTGAGGTTCAGAGATGTGAATTGCCCAGGTCATACAGTGAGTCGATTATAGCTATAACACGGAACTAGGTTTGCCTAACTCCAAAGCCTTTTCTAGATATGAGTATATGAGTAATAATGAAAGTGTTTTCGTTTATTAGCTCATGAAGTACTTTTATTTAAGACCTACTATGTGCCAAACACTGTGCTCAGGTCTGAGAATTCAGCGAATAAGTTAGATATCTTCTGCCTTATGAAGATTACAGTCAACTTGGGGTGGGGGGAAGAGGCATTAAAAAGATAAGGACACAAATGTATGATTACCAGTTGTGACTAGCACCACAAACAAAAGGACATGGTGTTGTGAGAGAAGAACAGGGGAGACCAATCTGGATTGAGGAATCAGGGAAGACATTTCTGAGCGGGAGAAGGTAACAAGGAGTTAGTCAGGCAAGGATGGGAAGATGATTTCAACCTTTCCAGGTGGACCGAGCTGCTAAGGGTGGAGAGCTAATCCAATTGGCCCCCAACAAGGCTCTTCAGGGGATGGAGATGCCCAGATGATGGCCACAGCCAGCTTTCTAGAGAAGTGTTGAGGCATGTCCAAGTATGTGGTATTTCCTTAATACGTTATGTACTGGGGAGAGTCCTGTCCAGACGTGGAAATGGCCTCTCCCTTCCCTTGGAAATTCTGGCATGCCATCCAGTTTTGCAACTTCCCGGGATGTTGCCAGTCAGCTCTGCTGACCTGTTGGCCCCACAGCACCTGGTGAATCTTGTATTATTGTTCCTTGATTGGTTCTTCATGTTCTAATATCCACAGGGCAGAAAGTTAGAGCCGAGCATGTTTGGCCACTTTTGTCCCAGTAATCTTCACTTTACACTGGGAATTTACATGCTAAAGATTCGGACATCCCAGAGAAAAGTTGCTCAGCCTTTTGACTAGTGATGTGATCATAGGCTCAGGAAATCTAGCAGTATTTATTCAATGGGATCAATACTTTGGATGGCATTGGAGAGGACTACATGGAAGAGGAGGTCAAACTACATAGCTCTTTTGGATAATGGAGCAGCATTGCCTTTTCCGAGAGGAGCAGCATTTCTGGGTTACAGAGTGAAAAACCAAACTGAGTCACCTATTCTGGGTAAGGGAAAGAGAGAGGACTTAACAATTCTCAGTAAGGGTAGATCTTTCTGGATAATGGGGGAAAGATGAAACTGATGTGCTTTTCTGAATAACAGAGGGAGGCAACCCAGAAAAGGAAGCGAGGTAGTAGCATCTTTGGCCCACAAGAACTAGCCAACAGGAGGGCATGTGAGCAAAGACTTCCTTGTGTGGCCATCAAGCACAAACAGAGGAAGGTGTGTTTGAGGAGGCAGGGGTCCTGGAGTTTGTTTATTTCCAAGGCTTTCCATTGCTGCTGCGTATGGCCTGGGGCCAGTGGACCTCACAAAGCCTCAGCCGCCGTGTTCTTAAAATAGAGCATGTTTGTGCCCTCTCGGTTCCACAGTGACCAAGAGACAAAGCTAGCGTCTTCTCTCAACTGCCCAGATGCGAGGACCTAGAAACCCCCTTGGAGATGCTGTGAGGGGACAGTTTAGTCATTTAGACTATGAGCTGTTACAACTGGAGGGAAATTAGTCACATCCAGTATAAATCCTTCATTTTACAGTTGAGGAAACTGAGGCCTGAAGGTGGGAAATGACTCGTCCAAGTCCTCACAGGAAGAACAGAGCTGGGACTAGAGCCCAGAATCCCCAACTCCCAGCCTGGTTCTTTACAACACTAAAAGCTGTTTCATAAGATGAGAGAATGGCTTTCTGGAGGAATCGCTTGGGACGGAAATCAGAGACTGAATGGAAAGACTCAAGGAAATGAATACATTAACATTTAATGAAAGCCTTCTATGAATTAGGCACTGTGCCAGCCTCATTTAATCCTCTCAAAAATCCCTGGGTTGGAGATATTTTTTTTTAAGATTTTATTTATTTATTTGACAGAGAAAGACACAGCGAGAGAGGGAACACAAGCAGGGGGAATGGGAGAGGGAGAAGCAGGCTTCCCACAGAGCAGGGAGTCTGATGACGGGGCTCGGTCCCAGGACCCTGGGATCATGACCTGAGCCACCCAGGTGCTCCCCATGTTGGAGATATTATTGCCGTTTTACAGCTGTTGAAACTGAGACTCAGATTAAGTAAACATGTGGCTGAGTATTTGAACCCAGGTCTGCTTGAAAACAGCCTGCGCTTTTCTACCCGAGCAGACTGGAAACATCCATTGGTTCTCAAGATCATCACTGATGCGATAAAACCTGGGGCAGAAACGAGGCAAGGCTAGCAAGCATCTGCCTTTTCCTATGGTGAGCAGGCAAAGGAGGAGCAGATAGCTCTTTCCTCAGTCACGAAGGCAGGGTGATGAACAAGAGCATTGACACTCTGTTCTGAAGTCAGAGTTTGTGTTATGGAGAAATAATCTTCTGGATCAGTTTAGGCTTTCTGATCTCATTTTAGGTATGGTTACTCCAATGGCTATTTACCTTTTGGCCTATGTACTATCTCTGCTCTTATGAATGCTATTTTTATCCCAGTTGAATCACTTATATTACCTTTTGACACAGGTTATTTTGTAAAGTTTTGTATATAATTTGCTTCTGAAACACCACTGGCCAATAACCATGGAATTCCTTTCATCACTAAAATCCTAGGCTAAGTGCTTTAAGACATGAGATCACCTTCAGATGAATTGTTAATAAAAATTAAAGCTATAGCCAGTGGCATGGGTATTTTGGGCTCTTGGCCAGCAAATAAACCATCTGCGTGAAAGAAAACAGGCTGACCATTTTGGACTCTGGTCTCCGTGGCTGCATTGTGCATTGACCTCACCGGTAATTACCCAAATTAATTGCCTTTGGGTTGTGTTCTCTCATCATGGAAACCTTCCTTTCCCAATTCAAACCATGTGGGTTAAAATGAGAAAACAAAAGCAAAAACTCCTCCCCGCCCCATACCCGAAAGCCCCTCTGTCAGGGATCCCAGGTGGACCCGGGGGGGCGGGGGGGTGGTGTTGCTGTTGGAGGCCGAGAAGGGCTGGTCATCACCGCATACCATCCATAGGTGGAGGTCTGTTATTCTGTTTCCCCCCTATGAGAGGATACCTATTGTTCCTGAAAACGCTGACCAGGACCCACACTTCCAACAAAAATTCCTCTACCCCTGCAACAGCAGAAGCAACAGCAATAGAGAAGTGTTTTGATGAATTGCAAGATGGATAGGGCTTGCAGTGGCCCCAGCCCTGCTGATACCAAATGCCTTTAAGATACAGCCTTTCCCATCCTAATCTACAAAGGAAACAGGAAAAAGGAACTTAAAACTCCCTGCGCTCAGACAGAAATGAGACTGTTACAGCCCGCTTCTATGCTGTTCCTTCTTGCCTCTGACTTGTAAACAAGACCTAGTAGAACATGCGAATGGAAAGTCACAAACCTCTGTGTGTTTGAAAGGATCCTTGGGACCTCATGCACATCTGCGGAAACTGGATGGAGAGATTTGGGGAAGCATGGACTCTTTAGCCGGCTTAGTTCTCTATGGAGTCAGCTTGCTCCTTTCTGGTAAGGTTTGGCTTTGTTTTTTTAATTTAGTTTTTTTTTTTTTTTTTAACAGAGTTGGTGATTCTGGGCTCTCTCACTAGCTGTTAGTGCGGGTTAACAAGGGGCAGCTGTGGCATATAGGCACCGTTTCTCTATGACTTTCCATTTAATCTATGTGGGGATTAAAATGCAATGTCTTTATGGCACTGAACTGATTTTTCTAGAGTTTCACTCCTGCATAATTGTCACCTGTGTTTCCAGACTCTATGAGCACTGATCAGGTCACTTTGTAGAGATTCACTTACTATGATACATTATTTTACTGCTCTTCATTTGGGATTGTTTCCTTATTTAAAAAAAAATAAGAAACCCCGTTTTACCTGCTTCAAAAAAAGTTTTCCATAATTTTTTTAAAAATGAAAGTCATGCAGAGACTTATGGGGCCCACTTAATGGCAATGTGCAGATTGTCATTTTTAAATGAGAACAAAAATGCTTTTCTATAAGGATTTCATATCCACATCCTATTTTAATTGAAACAGTCAAAGGCTAGGCTTTTTGTTTTTTTTCTTTTTTCCTTAGGGCTGCGGTCAGGGCTATATAATTTTTGTTAGTTTTTTAAAAATTTTTGTCATGTAGTAATTTATAGTCTTTATTGGCCCAATGGGCTGAAAGTTGGGGCAGTTACCCTGATCCGTAGGCACAGGAGAGTATCGAAAGCTGTAGTAGAGCTAAGGAATGGTGGGCTTGGATGTTTTTAGATCTCGTATGTCTGTTGCTCAGGTTCTCCAGATAGTGGCATTCCTCTTATGTTCACTCACCCTGTGGGACACTGGCTGAGAGTGTTACTAAAACCTGAAGTGCAGATCACAACTCTAATCGCCAGCATGCTCTCCCTTTTAGTTTGCAAACATTCTAATTATTGTAACGAAAATAGAATTGATAGTGGAAATCAAATTGGGAAAATGTGCTGAATTCAATGGTGCAGTCTATAATATGTTAGTAGAAATTGACCCGAACATACATAAGTATGTGTTACATTATTTTCATCTTTTTCTGTATGTTTGAAATATATTAAATATTCAAAAAATTAATCCAACAAGATAAGAGAATTGCATGTAATTTGTCTATAGCTTTTCAGTTTGTTTTCAACACCCAGTTATATTGAGGATTTAATAATATTTTTAAGACTAAGAATGTATAATATAAATTGCTGAAATGGTTTCAATGTTTTGTACAAATTACTTATATTAACATAGAAATGTTGATTTCTCCAGTAATAGGCACTTTTAAAACAAATAATTATCATGATTGCATAATTACTTTGCTTTATTTTCTGTGTGACATATTTATCAGTAACATGAAATCTGGAACTATTCTACACCAGGGATTATAGTCATCAAAGCCCAGGGGGCTACAGTTGCTCTGAGATACTTTATAAATTAAATCACCTGTGTGCACACACATGCAAACACACACACAGTTTTAATTCAGTTTTTTTTTTTTCCCTCAAAGTGACTATGTCATGGCACTTTGCAGGATAGGCTTAGACATAAAATCAGGCAAAAAAAAATTATGTGGCTGAAATAGTTGCTCTGTGTTTAGACCTTAGTTCCCTGGAAAAAAAGCCCTGACTTCAACAGGGAGAGGCCCAAGGAGAGGGATTTCATGCTCCTATTGAAAAGGAAGGGTGACACTAGCAAGGTTGGTTTCTGGGGTAGGTCTGTTGTATAGGAATCCTAACTTACTTTCCCAGTATAGCTCTTCATGGACATGGATACACAACACTTGGGAATTGCAACAAGAATCCAGCATGATCATGTCTACAAGTATAGGAGCCCATTCTTTACACCAAACTCCACTGGTAGACTACAGTAATGGAGCAAGGGACTTACGGCTTATGCGTTTCTCTCTCTATTCCAGTGGGTTCTTTCTGATTCCTTTTTTCTCTGAACATATAAGACTGAAACAATATGTCACATTTGCCTCAATAAAAGTGGCTCTGGGTGGCAGATACTGACCCATAAGGAGTTGGAAAACGTATATAATTTTCAGAAGACTTCCCTAGATTCTGGTACATTCCCCTCCCAATTGAGGGGAATGGCCAAATTACAAACAAGTTCTAATAAACACACTAGCTTTTCCCTACTCTCCCACCCTCACCAAACCAGGCTGTTCTATCTAAAGAATTGTATATGCAGAAATACAAAATAAAACAAATTATTCTTTGTGCTTTATCATAGTATGTCCTATATGATCAACACTGACCCAGTGGGAAGTCTCTAGTAGTGTGCTTTCATATCTCTTTCCTGTTTCATTTGACATTTTAAATAACAACCATTATCTCTAATAGTGGATATCTTGTCTGGAAAGACAGTGGAAATTCGGTTCCAAGGTCAGGAAAGTGGTCCCAGATGGAACCTTCTCATTAGGGCTGGTCTTGGAAGGCTGTATCGGGTGTGAGTAATCAAGGGTGGAGGTCCAGAAGCTGGGACCAGAGACACACCTGGGAATTATTCTCACAGGGAGGAGTTTTGCTTTCTCCACAGATGCTCCCTACTAAGCATTGTCTTTGTTAGAAATGTCAGCATTTCCTTTTCAGCTCTATGCTGGGAGAGCTTCCTGCTAGAGTTCTAGTTCTTTTAAGACATCCCTCGAGGAGGGAAGGACTCATCCAAGTCCATTTCAGAAGACTGTGCTATGTCTTCTGGGAGATTCATTGGGTGGGCTCCAAATTTTTCTGACATTATAAATTTGTCTAAAAAGATATGTGTGTGACTGTATAACCTGCTTATTCCCTGTAGATGGCTTATTGGTGAGAGCACAGAATCTGGCTTCAGATGATTTCTCTAAGGTGGATAAATGGACCAAACCCAAAAGATAGCATTTCAAAATAGATGAATGTGAAGTTATAAGTTTGGTTTCAAAAAATGTATGTATGTTCAGTGTAAGAGAGTCTTGATTTGTTGAAAGTTCTAAGGAATAACACCTACATTTTGGTGATACACACAATTCATAGGTGTCAACATGTGCTCTGCTTACTAAAATGTAATATATAAGCTGCAACAGTTCACTTTTGTAGAAATATAAGGTCCACATTAGAAATGGTAGTCACTTTACTGCTCAGAGAATATCCATTAAACACTGAAGACAGTGAGAAATTTGACAGCAAACACAGTGGGCAAGCAGGAAGGTAAGTACTTTAAGAAAAATATTTAGCCAGATGAAAAGAGATGAAATTTTTAAGGGTTTCCATAGAGAAAACACCATAGATGGACATGGTATTTTGCCAGATCTAGGATACAGGGATGAAGGTAGTTTGGCTTGATTGATGGAAACCTTCTAAATATTGGATCATCATCCCCATGAAGAGTGAGCTCCCACAGTGGAGAGTGTTGAGGCATAGATTGGGTGATCATCTAGCAGGATCACTGAAGAATGTGGAGCGTGATGGTTACTCCACTTCCCTTTTATATCCCTTTCATTTTACTGTTTGTGCCTCCTCCCTGATCACTCAGGTGGAGAAGAATTCAGAAAAGCATCAACATCTTTGCCCAGTGAAACCACACTGGGTGTGTTTCCTGAATTTTAACTCAATCAACATGCCTTAAGAGAAAAAAAGCATAGGTATACATGTGCTATGATGACTTTTCTGAAGCCACTGCTTGAGGGGACTGAGGTGGAGCTAATCAAGAATGCAGGAGAAAGAGTAAAGAGTATGGATTGTGAAATCACAGACCTGGGGTGAAGCTCAAATTAGATGACCATGGGAAAGTTACTTGATTTCTCGAAGCCATTCTTTCCTCATCTTTTATGGATGAGAGGACCCATTTCCCAAAGTCCTTATGAGCATCATGTGAGGCAAGTAGAGAGCTTAGCCCGTAAGAACTTCCTTAATAAATGAAGCTAGTATAATAATAAAAAAAAGAAGTGTTTCTATGAGGACCTCTGTGCTAGTTCAAGACTGGTCTAATATTTTCCAGCAGGTAGGGGAGTCACTTACTGCTCATAGAAGCACTCTCCTTCTAAAAGACCTCAACATAATCTAATTCCATAAATTTTATGTTTGTATCTCTCCATGTGGGCTATTATCCAGTGCTTCCCCTCACCTCCCCATTCATCCTTGCTCTAGGCTCTTTGCATTCAATCAGGCCCATCTCTACAATCTATGCACTCTTTCCTCTTGGCTCTTGTTCATGCTCTTCCATCCATTTGGAAAGGACACTCTCCATGCCTACGCTGCAAACACAGTTCAACTCAACCTGCCTAGGCCAACTTTGCCTCATGATCTTCCCCTAATCCGGAGTTCCCTTACTATATAGGCTGTGTCTTTGTGATTTGGGCACATAGATTTAGCTCCATTAGCCTTTAACACTTTTGACAACAGATACTACTTCTTTTTTATTCTCGATAGTTCATGCATTTGATGTTCAATATTCTTTATTGGATAGAGTTTAATATGGCCTAATAAGAAATTATTAACATGACCTAGCAGGCCTGAAAGAAAGAGGGAATGTTGTAGAAAGGATTTTAGTCACATTGAAATAATAATAATAATGACAAAAATAACAAATAATGTGACAACAGTAAGCAATTTCATATAAACTGCAAGAGGTATTTGCTCAAATCTTATGTTAAATATGTGAATAAGGTCAAAAGAAAATTCCCTTATTCCCTTAGGTGTGAAACATAAAAATACTTATATAAATACATATTTATATAAAAACATAAAAATAGTTCATGAAAATGGATCTAACCTGGCCTTTACCCAATATTAGATATTGTACTATTGTTGAATATCACCCAAAAGATATATAGGCTTTTTATTCAATAGACTTTTGAGTTATTGCCTGCTTTTTGTTGATTCATTTATTCATTCCTTTAGTCAACTATCATTTTAGTCAGTGAAGACATATTGAGGATTTACTTTAAGCCAAATACTGTACTGGATACCAGGAACGCAAAAAAGGACGAGTCATTTTTTTTCTCCCTTGCTAAATTCACACTATAGTAGGAAAGAGG